GCGGACAGGTGAGCGGGGCAGCTGGCGCACATTTCGGCTGTGGGAGCTGCTAGGAGTTTGCTCTCTGCTGTGGGAGCTGCTAGGAGTTTGCTCTCTCCGTTCACACCCCTTTGCAGAATTTCGGTAATGGATCCCGACTCGACGCCGCCGCCAAGAAGCTCGTCCACATCCGAGGGCAGCGTGTGACAAACAGGAGAAGGGCGGCGGTGCCGCGGGGCACGGAGACAACCTTGCTCCCGGTGGAGATGTACACCGTTGTCTTGCGCTGCGTCATCATTCCGACGCGCTCGAAAACCGCATCTTCACCAGTGTGTGTGCTATAGAAGTGCTGCACCTTTTTGAGAATTTTTACCCATCCCCACGTTCTTACCAGAGCCATACAAGCCACAACAGTCTCCGCGCGGCGTTTTTTGATTTTACTGGTGATGCACACTCGTGGCGCGGAGCCTCCTGGGGCACACACTCTATGGGTAGCTACCCTACCGGGGCACACACTCTACGGGTAGCTACCCTACCCTACCAAGGAACACACTCTACGGGTAGCTACCCTGCCGAGGACGCCGCCCTGGTAGCTACCCTGCCGAGGACGCGCGCCCTGCTCGCGGACGTGTGCCGTGCTGACTACCTCCTCCGGCGCGCGCACTGGCACTCCTGCCACGCGCACGAGTCGCGGGTCCGACCGGATCGTCGAGCAGATCTCCGCCGCATCAAGGCACTAACACCGCTCTCTGCTCTGGGCAGGCGCCAGGACAGGTGGCCGAACACGCGCTGGGAGATGAGTGCCTCCAGCATGCAGCCGTCGATCTCAACAACTCCACGTGTCTTGTGCATGCTCCGTCGATCTCAACAACTCCACGCGTCTTGTGCGCGCCGAGGGCTCTGAGGGCGGCTCTTGTGCGCGCCAAGGGCTCTGAGGGCAGCCGCCACACGCCCCCACACGCCGTCGCGCGCCGCCCACTGCTCCACCCATTTCCGCCCGCTGTCCTCGATGCGGTGCACTTGCGGGCGCTCCCGGCCGCGTCCGCGCGCCTAGGGGTTAGGGGTTGGGGGGGTGTGGGGGGGGGGGGGGGTAGGGGTTAGGGGGTACCTTAAGGTAGGGGATAGGGGGTACCTTAAGGTAGGGGTTAGGGGGGTAGGGGTTAGGGGGTACCTTAAGGTGGGGGTTAGGGGGGTTCGGGTGCCTGCACGCCCGCCGCCGCCGACGTGGCGTCGGCGGCGGTCCCGTCTGCGCGTCGAAGCTCGGTCCGCCACTCCTCGTCCGAACCCGCCCTCGAGCACCGTCTCCTCCGAGTGGCGCGCCAACCTCTGAATAGACGCGAGTGGAGCGAGGCGCCGCGCCTGCTGCGCCTCAAGCACGTCGTACGCCTCGACGATGCGGTGGCACCGCACACGCAAGACGGCCCGGACTCGCTTCCAGGGCGGCGGTCGGTGTTTTCAGCAACCGTTCGGACCGCGCACTTGTAGTGTAGAGCGCACCTGCACACGAGGCCAGTCGGTGCAGGCACCTTGGTCATGTCGGACCAGCTCCTGTGGGGGAACGCTTGGACCATGGGCTGCTGGTGGTCGCACACCAATCCCCGTAACGACACAAACTCAGCCGCCGGATCGAGTATGGTGGTCCATGTGACCTCGTCCAGGTGCAGAAAATGGAGCTCGGCTAGGGTTGCGCAGCGAACAGGAGCGAGTTCGCGCTGCGCTAGGCTCAGTACGGCGAGTTCGCGCTGCGCAAGGCTGTGGCTCAGTACGGCGAGTTCCGCTCCAGGCTCTCTCGCGGAGCCTATGTTAGAGGTGTCTTTTAAGGTGGCAGTCCTGGTTCTGAATTGAAATTCCTACCAAGTGTCGATTCTGTACAATAGAGAGAGAGAGAGAAAGGAGAGAGTACAATAGAATTGCGAGGCGCTCACGGTGGTGCAGGCGGCGAGTCGTCGGAACAGTCCATGTCTTTTGCGTCACCAAACGGGCAGCAGCCGGAGGAGCACGCGCGTGCGCAAAGGGTGGTCGCACTCGGCGGCTTCTGCGGCGACCTCACGGCTCGTGCGCCGCTCGACAGAGCAGGAAATAGCGCTTCGTGGCACTTGCTTCGCGACCGCCGCCGCCTCCTCCGCCGCCGCCCTCTCCGCCGCCCTCTCCGCCCTCTCCGCCTCCGCCCTCTCCTCCTCCTCCGCCGCCTCCGCCTCCGCCCTCGCCGCCTCCGCCGCCCTCGCCGCCGCCTCCGCCTCCGCCGCCGCCCTCGCCGCCTCCGCCTCCGCCCTCGCCGCCGCCAGCGCCGCCGCCTCCTCCGCCTCCACCCTCGCCGCCGCCCTCGCCGCCTCCTCTGCCGCCGCCTCCTCCGCCGCCGCCCTCGCCGCCGCCCTCGCCGCCTCCTCCGCCGCCGTCCTCTCCGCCGCCGCCTCCTCCGCCGCCTCCTCCGCCGCCGCCCTCTCCGCCCTCTCCGCCTCCGCCCTCTCCTCCTCCTCCGCCGCCTCCGCCTCCGCCCTCGCCGCCGCCGCCGCCGCCGCCGCCTCCGCCTCCGCCTCCGCCGCCTCCGCCTCCGCCCTCGCCGCATCCTCCGCCGCCGCCCTCGCCGCCTCCACCCTCGCCCCCGCCGCCCTCGCCGCTGCCCTCGCCGCCTCCTCCGCCTCCACCCTCGCCGCCTCCTCCGCCGCCCTCTCCGCCCTCTCCGCCTCCGCCCTCTCCTCCTCCTCCGCCGCCTCCGCCTCCGCCCTCGCCGCCTCTGCCGATGCCTCCGCCGCCGATGCCTCCGCCGCCGCCGCCGCCGCCGCCGCCGCCGCCGCCGCCGCCGCCTCTGCCTCCGCCACCGCCGCCTCCTCCACCATCTCTGCCGCCTCGGCCGACGATCCCCCATCTTCCCCAAAGCGGCAGGCAATGTAGCCAGGTACGGAAGCAACAATCGCTCGTAGAAGATCAATCTCTTCTCCCCATTTCGCGGAGAAGTTGCGAAAGATGCGATCACTCAGCCGCTGGTAGCGCAGCTCGCGCTCCTCCCGGGTCCGGTTGCGGAGCCCCATCACATGGTGTGTCTCACGACACAAAACACCGGACTGGACCAGCAGGGCGTGATCCTCAACGAGGCTCCACCCTCTGGCATCCGAGCTACGAACAATGCTGTACTGCAGCGCATCGAGCAGAGGATCAGAGAGAATTGCGACGAGACGGTCGCAGGTAGCCTCCATATCGGCCGTTTCAGGTTCGCCGTTGTCGGAAAAAAGGGCTGTGGGCCCGAGAGCGATATGCCATGTCCGCCTTGCTTTGTTTCCTAACATCGAAGGCTAAGCTCAAAAAAGAAAAAAGGGGGAGAAATAAATACGCGCGGGTACCGACTGCACTCCAAGTGCTCCAAGGGTACCCGAACAGCTACGCACATTTGTTCATTTGTTTTAGTTCGTTCACAGCACCAGGGTGGTGTTGAGTTCCGTTCCAACACCGCCGCCATGACCGAGCATCGTTCACGATCAAGGTCAGGAATGCTTGCTTCGCACCGGTAATCCTGTAGGTCGCGCGATTTCTTCTTCTCTGGCGGCATGAGGGCGCCCGCCGCCCAACCCAGCTGGCCGAGCTGGCGGTGGGCACCTGACCGCGCTGCGAGCCCTCCTCTCCGTGCGGTGGACGCGCGGCAGTCTCAACGCGCGGCTCGACACCGACACGCAAGACACGCTGCTCACCCGGGCCGCTCGGCACGGGCAAGCCGAGGCGGTGCGGCTGCTGCTCGAAGCCGGCGCGAGCGTCGGGGCGACGACGGGCGGCGGCGCTTCCGCGCTGTTCATCGCGTGCCAGAACGGCCACCTCGGCTGCGTCCGGCTGCTCCGCGAGGCTGGCGCAGCGGTCGACCAAGCCACGCAGGATGGTGTCACGCCGCTGCTCGTCGCGTGCTGGAAAGGCCAACTCGAGTGTGCCCGGCTGCTTCTCGAGGCCAGCGCGGCGACCGATCAAGCCACACAGGGTGGCGCCACGCCGCTTTTCGTCGCGTCCCAGGAGGGCCAGGTCGAGTGCGCCAGGCTGCTTCTCGAGGCTGGCGTGTGGCGGTCAACCAAGCTGAGAGCCTCACCGCCGCCCGCGCTTGCTCCCTGCTGCGCAGCGGCGCGAGCCTGCACGAGGGCGAGCCGACGCTGCAGCGCGCCGCGGGGGGCGAGGGCGAGGCGGCGGCGCTGGTCCGGCGGGCGGCGGCGCCGTGGTCGCCGGCAAGCCACTCGCTCTTCCCCGCGGCGGCCCGCGCGCGGGCGGCGCTCCTCGTCGTCTCGCTCTACGAGATCCACGAGCGGCACCATCTCGACTCGGCAGGAGCCACAAACGGCATCGCGGCGCGCGACTTTAGCGCGTGCGTGCTGCGCTTCGCGATCACGCGCGAGGCAGAGTAGGGGAGCTAGCGGCGACTGCTCGCCGTTGACTCGGTTGTCATGTCGTGTCCTCTGAGCTCTCCTCTGTCCACGAGGAGAGCTCCTCTGAGCTCTCCTCTGTCCACGCGGAGAGCTCTTTCTTTCTTGCGTTTTGGTGATACTGATACGTGGGTGCGGGTCCCCTATGCCGTAGAGCCGTATGCGGCGCCTGTGAGTCACGCGAATCTCCGTCGGCGTCGCTCTACGGCTTTACTCACGCGAATCTCCGTCCCGTCGCTCTACGGCTTTACCGCAGGAAGGCGCCAGGCGGGGCCCACTTATCCACTCAACGGCAACCTCCAAGACCAAGGGGAACGCGAAAACTGCCACGGCAACCGCCACGAAAACTGGACTAAAGCGCCTGTGACCCCCCGCCCGCACCCCCCCCACCCCCCCCACCGCCCCCACTAATGAGCCGCGTGCTCGGAGCTTTGCCGAGCTCAAAGCTCGGGTCTCGCGCGCCGACAGCCGGGGCGCGGCCTAGGCGCGGAAGGCGCCTTCGAACGCTTCCGCCTGCTCGCGCACCTTGCGCTCGTACTCAACGCTCTTGTGCCTGTACGCGTTGTGCGCCTCCCCACCCCAAAGCTTGCCCCTCCTCCGAGCCCCGCGCAGCTTCAGCCCGTTCGCCTATGAGCACTCGCAAGCGGTGTTTCGGATGTGTCTGTGGCCGTGTGCTCTCCGCAGCGCGCCGGCGTCCTTGGGCGGGCGCGGATGCACCAGCAATGCCTGAATGTCGAGGAGGAGCTGCTTGATCGTCGTCTCCGGCGTCCACGCCTGTGGTACAGATTGCTTCCTGTGACTAAGACCGGCGGCAGCGACGTCGCACGCGGGCAAGGCGCTCGTCAGGAGAGAGCTTGCGGAGGTAGATGGTGCCGTCGCTGTAGACGTTCGGGTGGAAGAGCACCTCACCCCCCGGCGCCTTGCCAAACTTGCATTCCGGAGGCTCATGTGGGTAGTCGACGGGGAAGCTCCTGTCGGCGAGGCGGGGCAGAGAGTACCTCTGAGCTCTCTCCGCAACGCTGCAGCCCCGGTACGAGCACGCACATGTGGACAGGGTAGTTGCCCCGTTCCCACATGGTGCCCTTCTTGCCCGGCACAACACAGTCCCAATGGTACGGATCCTGCGTGCCGTCAGCAGTCGTGCGCGGCCTGGCGACAAACCCCTAAAGAGACAACGCGGGTGTCGTGGAGCCACGGGCTCGTCGGCGCCGGCCGGCGAGCGTCGATCGTGCGTGAGGGTGATCGCGTCGCCAACGCTTGCGTTCCTCCTGCAGGCGTCCGCGCGCGATGTCTGACATATGGCGCAGGCTGCTCCTCGCACACTCGCTCGCCCGCCTTCCCAGCGAGCCGTCGGGCTGGTGGGGCGCAGCGGTACTCGACAGCCTGGTCCGGGGTATCGACTGGCCCGAGACAAGAAACCGCGACCACCGGTGGACCAATGAAAGAGACGAAGACGCACGGGAGGTCTACGAGCGATCGGTGCGATTCATTCGCAGAGGTCGGGGTAACACACGTAGTGCACCTCCTTGGCGGGGACGGCCTGCCAATGGCCTGGCGCGAGTTTAAAGACCGAGCCCCGGCGTAGTGGGCCCACTTGCTCGCCCGCCAGATGCAGGCCGAGATGGGCCGGCATCACCCGAGATGAGTCGAGATGAGTCGAGATGAGACGAGCGGAGCCGAGCGGAGCCGAGCGGAGCCGAGAGGAGTCGAAGCCTGCACCCCTCCGGGCAGGTGATGCCGGGCGTGCCAATCTCGTCCATCCGCGAGGAGTTTGAGCATGTCGAGCCCGGTCCGCCCCCCCCCACCACCACCACCACCACCACCGCCACCACCACCACACCCCCCACCCCACACACACCCCAGTCGCCAGTCGCCAATGCATGCTTGCCCTGCGCGCCCCTTCGCTAGCCCAGCCGTCCGGCACCGTACGGCACCGCCATCGGCGCTAGCACCGCGGTCCCGTCTCACCGCTGCCGCTGCGCCCTCCTCGCCCCGTCGCAGGTTTCGGCGTCGAGCACGCGATCGCCCGCCGCGGCACCGGGCTGCAGCACCCGGGGTGCGACTGCTGGGCCTTCCCGCGAGAGTGGGTGGCCGCGGCTGGTGCTCGGCTCGCACGACTTCTCCTGAGCCGTCTCCGAGCCTCGACTTGCGGTGTTCATCTGCACGACTTGCGGTGTGCTTGGCACGCCATCGTCCGTCGCCGTATCAGCAGCTGGCTCGTCGCGACATATCGTCGAGTTGGCCCGCTTGAAGCGGGCGAGAGGGCGATGCATGGAAAGAGTTGACTTGGAAACGGTCGTGCCGGTCGTGCTGTAGTCGTCGATGCGGATCGTGTAGTATGGCAAGTTTTCCCACGGTCGGTGCTTGGCTACGATGGTTGCGTTTCGAGGTACGCCATCGCGGCACCTGTAGCGCACGCTCTCCGACACCGCGAAATCCTGAAGGTGGCTGCACGCAGGCAGGGTGTCTCTGAGCACGGCAAGACGCACGGTCTTGGAGTTCGCTATCTCCGCTGCACCAGGCGGAGCGGTTGTCCGGAGCCAACGTGCGACATGCTCCGTGAGCTTGCCGACGGTCAGAGTTGAACACACGGGCCGAAGATGGGCGGCGAGATGCCGCGGGCGCCTCGGGTGCAGTACGAATAGGGACGGGCGAGGGAGGAAGGGCGCTGACCACGGGCGACTACGTGCCGAAGGTTCGACGACGACTACTCGCCGCCTGGGTCGCTTGGGGCGCGCGGCTCCGTCGAGGACCAGGCGCGCCCCCTACCCGGCGAGGCGTAGGTCCCCACTCTGACGAAAAGAGGGGAGGCACGGTCGACAGCCCGATCCATCAACTACACTCATCTTCTGGTGCTCAGCCCCGTGCAACAGTGGTCCGGCAGGCTGCCCCCAAGGCCCCCCGGGCCGCTGCGGGTTTGGGAGTTATGCTTAGGCACAGCTTCGGCGATGGCAGCCCCTCTCTGGGGTGTTGCATAGGCGGGGAGTCTCCCCCGCTGGTCTCCTCCTTCCCATTTTTCTTTTCTTTTGAGAGCAGGACGCCGGGTTTGTCTTGTATGTGCGTGTCGGGCCTGGGTGTGTGCGCGGGGCGGAGAGGGGCAGGAGCGTGCGGGGCGGAGGCCCAACGTCGGGCGGCTTGTCGGGGTCGACGAATTCGAGGGGGGAACGAGGAGGGGGGAATGGGCGGTCGGCGTCGGGGTAGCAGCACCAGGGCGTACGGGGTAGCCGTCACTTTCCTGCCTCACAAGGGCGGGGCTGTCCCGGAAAGTGAGAGACGCCGGGCAGCGTGGCGCACAACTGAACCCTCCCATACGTGTTTGGGGTTCCTCCTTTGCTGTCCCATCTCCCTCATCTCTTTCCCGCCTGGGCGGGGCAGCGGGCGGGCGCGCGGTGCGGTGTGGCGTGTGCATGTGTGCGACCGCAACGAAGGACCGCTCGCAAGGGACCATTCGGATTCGGTTTGTACTATTACCACGAAGGCGCTCTCAAAAAGAGAAACTTTGACCGCCGCTGACGTGTCCATGCACGGGGCGGTGGGCGAGGCGGAGGGCGAGGCGGAGGGCGTGGCTCCCTCCCCAGACGCGCCGCCGCCCTCCCGCCTGCTCGACCTCCCCACGGAGCTCCTCGTGCGCGCCCTCTCTCGCTGCGACCCCGCCGACATCGCTCGCGTCGCGGCCGTCTCGCTCCTCTTCCACGCCTCGCTCGCGGAGCAGGGCATCCGCTTGCGGGCGCAAGAGCGCGGCTATGAGCTGCCGGCGCAGCCAGAGGGCGAGGGCTGCGCCGTGCGGTGGCTGTGCTACGCTGCGCTGCTGTGCGAGTCCAACCCGCCGGCCAGGGCGGCGGCAGGCCGTTGGCACAGCCTCTTCATCGACGGCGAGGGGCGGGTCTCGTCGTGCGGGTATTCGACGTCGTTAAACTACGCGAGATCCTTCAACCCATCGCTACTCCGTCACGGGATGGGCGTGACGCAGCTCAACACGCCGACCCGCCTCCCTTCCCCGCTGGGCGACGAGCGCGCCGTGAGCGTGTCGGCTGGGTTTGCCCACAACCTCGCCCTCGCCGCTGACGGCCGCGTCTGGAGCTGGGGCGATGGAGATTGTGGCGCGCTCGGCCACGGCGACGAGCAGGACCAGCCGCTGCCCAAGAAGGTCGAGGCCTTTGCTGGCCAGCGTGTCGTCGCTGTGTCGGCTGGAGGCTACCACAGCCTCGCCCTTACCGCCGACGGCGCCGTCTGGAGTGGGGGCTTTGGAGGGGAAGGCCAGCTGGGCCACGGCGACGATCAGGACCAGCTGCTGCCCAAGATGATCGAGGCCTTGGCTGGCCAGCGCGTCGACGCTGTGTCAGCTGGAAGCTACCACAACCTCGCCATCACCGCCGGCGGTGCTGTCTGGAGCTGGGGTGATGGAGACGACGGCAAGCTGGGCCACGACACCCACGAGGCACAGCCGCTGCCCAAGCACGTCGAGGCCTTAGCCGGCCAGCCCGTCGTCGCTGTGTCGGCTGGAGGCTACCACAGCCTCGCCCTGACCACCGACGGTAGTGTCTGGAGCTGGGGCGATGGAGACGACGGCAAGCTGGGCCACGGCGACGAGCAGACCCAGCTGCTTCCCAAGAAAATCGAGGCGTTGGCGGGGCAGCGGGCCATCGCTGTGACGGCTGGAGCGCAGCACAGCCTCGCCCTCACCGCCGACGGCGCCGTCTGGAGCTGGGGCAGTGGAATCTACGGCAAGCTGGGCCACGGCGGCCAGCAGCACCGGCTGCTGCCCAAGAAGGTCGAGGCCTTTGCGGGCCGGCGCGTCGTCGCTGTGTCGGCTGGATCCCAGCACAACCTCGCCATCACCGCCGACGACGCCGTCTTCACCTGGGGCGAGGGCGTACACGGCCGCCTAGGCCACGGAGAGGACGAGTCGAACCAGCTGCTGCCCAAGAAGATCGAGGCGCGCGGCGCAGAGTGAACTCTTCGAGTCGTCTCGATCTAGACGATACTCGAAAACACTCGATCTAGACGATACTCGAAAACACTCGAGTGAGGTATCTGCGGCGGCCCTGGAGCCCCGGCTCCTGGTCGAGCGGTACGAGGCGGGGCTGCTGTTCCGCTCCTCCGTGATGCCGCGGGAGGCCGGCCTGTGGGTGGGCCGCATCACGCACGACCCGTGGCCGCTGCAGGGCGCGAGACTCACGGGCTGGCGCAGCAGCATGCTGGATGCGGTGCCAGGCCTGCCCAGCGCGCTCGTCGACCCCGACGCCGCCCCGCTCGTGCTCTACTCACCCGGCCCTACGGCAGAGTGGTCTGATTTGAAGAGCGAATCGTTGATCGTGGAGGTCCACTGTGAGTCGGGGAGGGATGGAAGGTACTGTCTGTCGATATCCGTTTTTGCCGTTGTGGGTTGGTGGTGGGTGAATGCAAAGCCAACGCCGAGTTGAGCCCGTATCTCGTCGACGAGATTGTTTTCGGAGGCGATTTGTTCGAGGACATTGTGTCCGTCGTTTTCGTAGGTGGAGGGGGCTGTGCGTCGCAAGTGTCGAGTGCGGGGGTCGGCAACACAGTTGAAGTCTCCCATAAGAACCGTGCTGCGCGTAACTAGCTGCCCAAGGGTTCGGAAGAAGAGTGCTCGTCTTCCTACTCTGGAGATTTGGGGAGCATAGACGTTGACAAATTTTGAGCCTCGTTCCACCTTGGAACCGGAGAGGGCGGAGATGCCTCCGTTGCTGTGCTCTTTCTGAAGGTGACTTTTGTGGTCAGGAGAGAGTCTCTGATGAGGATTGCGGTGCCACCCCGACTCGCTTGTTGGCTGATTGGAGCGATGTACGCCCGAAAGCCATGGATGGTCGCGGTGTTTGTAAAGTGCCCGATATACGGGCGTCTTTCAGCTCCTGGAATCCGACTATGTCGGCTTTTTTTGCCGTCTTGATGGCCTGTTCCCATGTTCCCTTCGAGAGGGCTCCTCGGATATTGGCGGATAGGACTTTGAGGTCGGGACCCTCTCCTTCGAGACCCGAAGGGGGGCTTGGGTGTGACTTTTTGTCTGATTATGCCTTAAGAGTGACGACCCTACTGGACTCTCCACTGGACTTTCGGAGGTACAACAACCGTTTTGCCCATTTTCGGTCATGCGTCAAAATATCTGAAGATCTGTAGACCGGGTGATTCTCGCATTCTCCCCAAACCTTGCTCAGCTGATCCAGCCTGGGTCGTACGCCAGCCCTGGTTGAAGAAACCAGCACCTCATCAGGCTTCCCTGAGCGTCACAGCTCGGTGATCGCGCCGACCGGACACACACCACAGACTGGACTCCTCTTGGTCCCTTCTGATGCCCTAGGCCACACCTGGCCCTTACCTGCGGCTCTAGGGCCGGGCAGGGTTTGCCCCCCGAAAAACACGTCGTCCAGAGATCTTGCCTTCCCCCAGGCGCCGCTCGCGCCGCCTCGCCACCGCTGCCGCCGCCGCTCTCTGCCCTCTCCTCGACCTCCCCACGGATAGCCCCGCCGCCGCCGCCGCGCCCTCGCCAGCCACGCCGCCGCCCGCCCGCCTCCTCGACCTCCCCACGGAGCTCCTCGCGCGCGTCGTCTCCAGCCTCGGCGGCCCCCTCGACATTGCTCGCGCCGCGGCCGTCTCGCTGCTCTTCCACGCCTCGCTCGCGCTGGAGGCCATCCGCTTGCGGGCGCAAGAGCGCGGCTTCGAGCTGCCGGCGCAGCCAGAGGACGAGGGCTGCGCCGTGCGCTGGCTGTGCGTTTCGGCGCTGCTGCGCGAGTACAACCCGCCGGTGAGGGTGGCGGCGGGCCTTCGGCACAGCCTCTTCATCGACGGCGAGGGGCGGCTCTCGTCGTGCGGCTCTGGGCTAGACGATGCTCCAGCGCTGCTCAGCCACGGGACGCCAGGGCTCCTCGGCCACGGCGAGGGCGTGACGCGGCTCAACACGCCGACCCGCCTCCCTTCGCCGCTGGGCGGCGGCGAGCGCGCGGTGAGTGTGTCGGCTGGGCTTTTGCACACCCTCGCCCTCGCCGCCGACGGCAGTGTCTTGAGCTGGGGCGGGGGAGACTCCCAACTCGGCCATGGCGACAATCAGGACCAGTGGCAGCCCAAGAAGGTCGAGGCCTTGGCTGACCAGCGCGTCGTCGCTGTGTCGGCTGGGCTGAACCACAGCTTCGCTATCACCGCCGACGGCGCCGTCTGGAGCTGGGGCAGTGGAGGCTTTGGCCGGCTGGGCCACGGCGACCAGCAGGACCAGCCGCTGCCCAAGAAGGTCGAGGCCTTTGCTGGGCGGCGCGTCGTCGCTGTGTCGGCTGGAGGACTCCACAGCCTCGCCCTCACCGCCGACGGCGCCGTCTGGAGCTGGGGCAGCGCGACCTTTGGGCAGTTGGGCCACGGCAACGAGCAGGACCAGCTGCTGCCCGAGAAGGTCGAGGCGTTTGCTGGGCGGCGCATCGTCGCTGTGCTGGCCGGAGCCGTGCACAGCCTCGCCCTCACCGCCGACGGTGCCGCGTGGAGCTGGGGCGCTGGAGGATGTGGCCGGTTGGGCCACGGCGACGTGCAGCAGCAGCTGCTGCCAAAGAAGGTTGAGGCCTTGGCGGGGAGGCGCGTCCTCGCCGTGTCGGCCGGAGGCAGACACCTCCTCGCCCTCACCGCCGACAGAGCCGTCTGGACCTGGGGCTGCGGAGACTTTGGCCAGCTCGGCCACGGCGACGCGCAGCAGCAGCTGCTGCCGAAGAAGGTAGAGGCCTTGGCTGGCCAGCGCGTCGCCGCCGTAGCGGCTGGAGGCTTCCACAGCCTCGCCCTCACCGCTGACGGCGCCGTCCTTACCTGGGGCCAGGGCGAACGCGGCTGTTTAGGCCACGGAGAGGACGTGTCGAACCAGCTGCTGCCCAAGAAGGTCGAATTTGACGAGAGTTTTGTATCGCGCGAGGCGGTATAATATTAATGTATGTCAAAGAGGGCAGGTGAGTTTTGGACGGAGGGTGGGACGCGTCCCCAAGCGCCAAGGCGCAAGGAGGGGAAGGCGCTAGGCGCGGGTCTCGCGGTCGAGGGGGGGGGGGGGGCATCTTTGACCGAAACGGCGTGACACCTGCCGCGGGGGGGGGGGGGGGGGATTTTTTACCCAAACGGCGGGACACCTGCGGGGAGGGGGTCCCTGGGCCTCCGCCGGCCCTCCGGGGGGGGACCCCCCCCTTTACCCCCAGGGGCCCCCCAAAACCAAAAAGGTTTTAAACTTACGGTGCCCCCCCAGGACCCGGGGGTTCCACCCAAGGGAAAAGTCCCCCCCCCGGCGTTTGGGA